CAACCCGTAGGCCCGTAGACCCTCATTCTGGAAGGGTAGGTTATGAATTCTGGGAAGACTGGGAGTGTAGAGTTTCGGACAACATGGGAAGCCTCACACAAAGTTGCAGCCCATGCCTTGCCGAGCAAGTCCTAGAATCCCAAGAAGGCCAGTTATCCAAACCACAAGCTCTGAAATTCTGTTCCTTCAGCCATATGCAACGCGTAGGATGTAATTCCCCCACAACCTAGCATTTTCAGTACCATGTAGGGATACTGGGGTTCTAGGGTCCTAGGTTGATGGAGCTGTTGGATACATACTCTGAGTTATGTACGGTTGAGTTGAGGGCTTCGACAGCATAGGGTTTAGACGACTTGGCACCAATAATCCGTCAGGCTATCCGCGCTGGATATCCTGTTGACAATGCCTTTTTCCGTGAGTTCGGAGAGCGGATGTCTCGAATCCATTCGCAGGACTTGGGCCTCAAGGGTGTACGGTTTTATTAGAGGTCATGGTTGGGGTCTTCTCAGTGTTGATGCATAGCCCTGATCAGCAAAGCCCTTTTTCTCACAGGGCCTTCATATATGAGTATCCCTCTCAAATGTTTGCTTATCAAGGAAGGCTTGAGATGCGTTGTCAGGGATGATTGGCTCGGCTTTAAGGTTGTCGTGCTTAGGTCTCAACAGCACATGGTTTGGGATCCCTCGAATTTGTACATCGAGCCCCGATGTCTCGCCAACCCCAACAACTGGCAACAGATGTGGGAATACCTGGACGTGTAGAAAGGTTTTTGGATTGAGGGATGAAGGTCTTCTCTTCGAGCTTGAACTACTGTGCTTCTTGTACGATTGTACCAGCTTTGCCATTTGAAGTGTTTAGGGCTACCCTACTTGGAGGGTCGGGGGACTTAGTAAGTAGGTAGTGAGTAGACTTATAAGTACCCTAAATGGGACCCTAATTATAATGGGGGTTATGGTACTTATGAGTCCCTAATATAACCAGTTACTAAGTCCCCCGACCCTCCAAGTAAACCCTAAGCCGTTTGTGGTTCAGAGTTCGAGCCTCTCCCGTGCAGGGTCTGGAGTGTTTCACCAGCGATGAGGTCCACCCGTGGAGTGGATACTACAGGGGTCTGAAGAACTTGGATTTCCATGGCCTTATGGTCCCTTTATAGTTAGATTCAATTTCTAGTACAATAGATCCCTCCAAGCCCGATTCTAAGTCTACGGCCCCTTGTATCCGTTATCCCTGGGTTCAGAAACCACGTTGTACTTGGGGCAGCAAGTAATAGGGCCGGGGTATCCTCCAAACGTTCTTTTGGTGGCATATTGGAGAAGTATGACATCCCCCGTATCCCGTCTCATCATCTATGCAAGGCCTGAATGTCGAATCTTCAACCCAGAGACGCTAAGCAAACATGAAGGCCCCCAAGGATAATTGAAGCCACACCCCTGAAGTTTCGAGACATCCTGAACCCTACACCCGAAACCCTATTAGCCCTAAGACCAGGAGGAGGGCACCCACCGGAGGCAGTGCCAAGCGGCGCAAACCTCATCGAAAAGCTGGAGTTTCTTGGCTGTTGGGTTTAGTGTACAAGGGTTTAGGGTTTATAGGGCTTTGGGTATAGGGTATAAGGGTTTAGGGGTATACGGTTTGGGGGTTTGGGGTTTTGGGTTTAGGGGGTAAGGGTTTGGGGTACAAGGGTTTCAGAAGGGCTCGATAGGGGTTGTGTTCAATCAATAGGGCTTCAGGCTGGGTTTAAAAGGGTTTCACAGAGCTTTGCTTTGTGTTTATTTCACAACGGCTTTATTAGGGATTCCGATGTTGTTCGCATGGGGGATCTCTTCAGGTGTGGTTTTCAAGCTGTTTTGTGGATTCATGTTTGCAAGGGTTTGAAGTGTTGAGTTTATCCCGGGTTGTGTAGAGGTTCACGCCCCTCAAAATCCGGTCTTAAATCTTCTAATCTTAGTTTTCGGCTATCTATATCCTATTGGTAAGGTGCTGAACGAAAGGGTCTTCATTTATCAGGGGTCGACATTTTCCCAAGTCTGCCTTCACCCGAAGCCGAGATGAAGGAACCAACAAGCTGACGCGACGAGAAATAAGCCAGAGGCCTCCTCATGCCCGAAGCCTTACTCTCCCCAGGTAGATCCCTGAGGAATGTCCTTCATAAGTTATACCTCTAAATCGTAAACTAAGCCCCTGTACTTACTATTGTGCCTAATCCAGAGTTTCGTGTACACTGGAGCCAAGAAGGCCTGGGCACATGCATCGACGACGCAAAGCAGGATGTGGAGACCTGGCTCGGGACATGTTGGGGAGTAACATACAAGCCTGAATAGTTATCAATGATCAATGCTGTATTTTCAGGGTTCTATGTTTGGAATTCTGTAATGTAATGAAGCCTCCGAACCCTATCCCAACTATCGTGGCCCCGATATTGGGGCGGTTCGAGCCGTGGATCAGGTTTGAGGGTGTAGTGGCGATTGGAAATGTTGATTTTCACGGTTCAACAGCTCTGAGTGCACAGGGTCTTGTGCTCAATTGTGACATCGAAACCGTGGCCCCGAACTTGTCGGCCAATGATATATAACTATAGGGGCATGATTAATTAACCTTTACTATTTTGAGGGTTCCTTATTATAAGTAAAGCATCATGGGCCCCAAAACCCTATTCTAATTATTAAGGCGCCTACGTCATCATATTTTAAGCTGTGCCACAAGTCAGCATATAGAAAAGCATACCTTAATTGGGCGCAATGCCTGAAGGCCATGCGGTAAGCATGACAACCTCATGTAGCTTGGACAGTTTCTGTGCTTGCGGTTTGTCGGGTGTTCTTTCTGTGACTAGCCCATGTCAGCGAGACATGCCGGATCAGCGGAAACAACATCGACACACAAACCTGAAGCCCTCGATGTACCGCACTCGCATTTCAGCACCTTCACCCCATTCAGAACCCACACCCCGAAGGCGCACAGTCTCTGAACCCTAAACCCGAAGCCTCAACCACTCAGCACCTTACAGGCTGAGGTGTGCCCCTGATCACCCTAGATAGACTCCTCCGGAGGACCAGAAGCTGTAAGGATGCCAAGCTGCTAAGACGCGTAAGAATACCGGAACTTGGTTTTTGGTTGGTTTGGTTTGTCCTCATCACGCTGGCTCTGGACCCCTCCGACCTACATGAAAGCTCCGTCACGGACCTCTTCGTGACGGCGGCCCCGAATGACCTGCGGAACGCGAGCTTCGGTTGAAGCTCGCGTCTCCCGGCTCATGGGCATGGCGGACCTTTGACATGGCCAACCGCGATTTGAGTGGCGGGGCTCCCAGAGTTTCTTGAGGCCTAACATCAATATGTTGCTGCTTTTGTCAGAGTGGACTTGGCAGGGGCAGCAAGTCAGGCGCTGTCTTCGCGCTCTGTGCTGAAGACTTCTTCCTCAAGCCCAACCAGCGCGTCATCTTGCAGGGCACATCGTTTGTCGAGGGCCAGGTGGCTGTGCCTTGGCCATTACAGTTATATTCAGGGCTTTACTTTTTTCTGCTTGTAGTTGTTTGTTGAGCTATCTCTCTATGTTGCTTATTTTGTTTGGTTTCGTTGTCGGTTTGCCTCTGAGCTTCTGGGTTGAACTGCTCGTTGCTTGGCGCTTGGCTTGTTCATTTGCAGTGTGTCTGTCGGTGTGCCTGTGCATGCGTTTGGGCGTGCGTGCGTGCGTGCGTGCGTGCGTGCGTGCGTGCGTGCGTGCGTGCGTGCGTGGGTGGGTGGGTGGGTGGGTGGGTGGGTGGGTGGGTGGGTGGGTGGGTGGGTGCGTGGGTGTGTGTGCATGTGTGTGTGTGTGTGTGCGCGTATGTGTATGGCTTGCGCAAAAAACATTTCTGTGTGTTGTTCCATGCATAACATTGTCACCGGCGGCGGTAGATCGCATTGTCAAGTATGGCGGTGCCCGAGCCACTGTCCTCGGGATGTCTGTGTGCTGGAGGCTGTGCGGCCGCCGGCTACTCACGAAGGTACGGTTGAAGTTGAATTTGCTTTGGGGACGGAGTGCCTGCTGCATGGAGGTTTGCGCGACGCGTCCGTGCCTGGGCCTGCTCGTGATCGCAGCAGCTTCTGGCAGGACGTCGCCGATGTATGCTATTTTGCTCAGCAGAGACGGGGTGTTATGTCGTACGCTCGCCCCTTTAGAATAACCCGCGAAGCTGCCGGCTCACAGCTCTTCGTTGTGAGCCTTACAGCTGTCTGCGCCAGCTTGGGGTCGCAAAGCTCACCCCGGGGGAAATCCGAATATGACGGGTTGTTGAACATCGAAATAGCCGGCGGTGGCTTGCTTGCGCAACAGAAAGCTTTGCAGATGGGGACATGTTTTGCCAGCAGCCTCAACTTTCAGGTGTTTTGTCGTCCTTTCTTTGACTTACGTACTTATTTATTGCTGTGCCTACCCAGGCCAGAATGAGGATCTTTTCAAGTTTCTCGAGCAAACACAGCGCTATGTGGATCGGATTGCCTTCGAGGACGGTGTCATTCCATGCACAGCTGTGCTGCACAAAATGCTTTCAGTCTGCAGGCGTTTCAGTCTGATGCTCTCGCTGGACTCGTTGCCACCCGAACGCAGTGGGAGGCGGCAGGGCACCGTGGTCTCTTGATTGCAGTGCTCTGGTTCGGTTTGTCATTTTGCATTGCTTGCTGTGTGTTTTGTAAGATGCTGAAGCGAACTGTTCGTCAAGTACGCCCTGAGTCGTGATAGCCCGCCAGTTTGGGGCACCACGGCCGACATCAGCGGTCGCCCACCGCTCTTGCTTGTGAAAAAGGCGACCAAGGCTCCCTGAAGAAAGCACTTTGGATGGCGAAGCTGGCCCATGTTGTGCCTCGCCGTGATGGATTGCTGCTTCTCATTTACAACTTCCACCTTTGTTCTGTGTCTTTCTGCCCGACTGAGAAGTGCTTGGAATTTACGGAGTTGGCGGCACAGTGGACCTGTGATGTGCCAAGACAATGGATACACCGAAGACGTACACTTGCAGAGACGTCATGGACCACACGGAGAAGTTGGTGCAAGAGCTCGCGAAACGAGAAGCACCCAGACCTGTTTAGCTCCGAGCTGCATGGGCCTCGAAAGACATTGTCAGAATGTCCGTGTGTGTGTTGGTAGGCTAGCTTAGCAAGCCCAAATCGCCTAAACCCTTTATAACCCCAACCCCTATACCCCGTAGCTGTGCAGACATCCACAGGCCCTCAAGCACGAATCCAAACCCCTACTGTAGATCTTGACCCCTAACCCACAACCCCCCCAAAACCCCGAGACGCCGAGGAAGGCAGCAGCCGTGCCAGCTTAGAAGGATCCTTCCTGCAAACTGTGAAGAAGAGTTGGAAACAATTGTCTGAGGTGCCGGGCTACGGGTCTTGGGTTCCAGATTCAGGTTAGGTGCCAGGTCAGCACGATTCCCCAAAGGATGTAGAGGCCGGACGTGAAGAAGTTAGTATTTGTTAGTGCTCCTATGTACATAGTCCTCATATAGTTGTTCAAGTTATTGCGGGACGATTTTGTGGGTTTATGACATGGACTTGGCGTTTAGGGCTGTGGCATACAGCATCTCAGGGTTTTCAAGTCAGTTGTTAGGGTTCACGGCTTTCAGGGTTTTAGGATTTAGAGTTGTTGGGTTTGGGTTTTCAGGGTTGAAGGTTTTAAGGTTCAAGGTACACCGGGAGGTTTTCGATGCTTAAACTTGCGGTCGTTTCAGGATGCTCGAGTGCTAGGACTCGCAGGGTTCAGCGTTTTACGTTTGGGGTTGTAAGAAGAGTGTCCCCGTTCTTTCGCCGCGGAAAGGTTTGCAGGATGTTTAAGTTTCAATGGCCTTAGCAAGCCGGATTCTTTGTTGTGGATCATAGAGCTTCAGTTCTCCTGTTTCTGTACCATAATTGTTTGGTTTCGGCGGGCTCAACTCCAAACCCTAAACGCTCGATACTTCGGGCCTGGTCGTCACAGGTGCTTCTGGTCACGCCGGATTCGCAGCCACGCGATGCGGAGGAGTCGGGTTTCTGGGTTGTTTCGGGCTTTAGTGTTCAAATGGTTTGGCGATTAGGGTAGGGGTGAACGGTTTTGGGGGGCTGGGGACAGTGTTTGAGGGTCGGGGTTGGGTGACTCTTCTTGCAATTTGTGCTTGGCTTTCAGAAGTTTTGCATAATGCAAAAAGAAATGTGTTATCGGGGGTTTGGCTGTCCGCTTCAACGTGCTTCCCCAAAGAGCAATCGAACAAATTTTCTCCCAACTCCGTTGCAATTTATCAAGGCCGTGATGATGATACCTCTATGAAACCCTATAAGGACCCTATACCCATGTTCGAAACACTATTGCCCTATTCCTTGTCGGAAGACCACCTGCGCTCTAAAAGACAGCCGAGACCCATCAGGCCCCGATAAAATCAAGAAAACTGTATAAAACTCATGTTTTCGGTTGCTTTCAACGGCCTCCTCTGTCGGTCAGGCGCTTTGTGATACGATCCGCGCGCTGCAGTTGCAGGCCGGGTTAGGGTTTAGATTGTTTTCGGGTCTTATCATGCGGGGTTTTGGGTTTGGGTTGTTTTCATAAACACAAGGCCTTAGTGAAGATCATCACCTTGCCGAACGAAACGGTCGCAGAGTTTACCTTGAGAGCCATCAAACCTTGTGCCCGGCAGTGTTGATCGAGCCGCCGTGGCTCGAAGCAGTGCCTACTTTAGATCCTTTCGGTTTTTGTCACAAGGCTTTTGGGATGACATCTTGCCGGTCCGGGCCCACTCCAAGACTCTCTCGCATAAGGATAGCAGAAGCATTCAACAGCTGGCCGGACAACAATCAACCTTGTCCGTAACCATGAGCAATCCGAAGATATCCAAAACACAAGCTCCCTAAACCGTTCACCATCCCTAAATCTGTTGTAATAAACTTCCCCCTCCGTGCAAGCATACATGGGTCCCGCAACCACGTAGCGCGCCGGTCATTTCCAAATCCTCGAGAAAGGCACGAAACTCTAACCTACGCATTATAAGTCTTAAAGTCCAAAATACTTCAAAAACTCTCAATATATCTAAAGCCTAATTACTCAATAGCCCAAAACCTAGGAGCTCCAGACCCCTGAAGGAGAGTACTCTGAAGCTGTTTCGGGCCTCGGGTGCGTGGTTCTTCGACCCGCCCACGGCCACCGAAAGGCCGGAGCGGTGGGAGTTTAGGGTTTGTTTAGTTCAGGGTTTAGGGTTTGCCAGGACCCCCCAAGGGCTCTTGAACAGAGGCCTCATGGCCCGTAATAGTGGGTATTTTAGGCATATTCGAGGGTAGTTGGGATGTCTAGGCATGTCTACTAGGGTGGGTTTAAAATTTGACTTGATAAGAGATTTTAGGATTTAGGTTCCGGAAGGCTTCTTGATGGGTTCGATAAGGGGTTTATACGGGGCTACGGCTATGGGTTTCTTTTGGATCCATAGATGCTTAACGGCAATTTGGGCCTTCGTCTTGTATTTTTTTGCTGAGTGCTTTTCGTGTGTAGGGCCTCGTGTCTTGGGCTACCTTTCTACCTTGCTACGCTGCCGGCATTCCAACATGACCCGCCTGATCCACAAGACGCGATAAGTTTGAATTGCAGATGCCGTCAGCAAGTGCGGTCGCAAAGCTTCAGCCTAAAAGCCGAAACACTACGGCCTGAGGGAGACTTCATCAACGTCTGTTAAGTTATTTTGCAGTGGAACCTACTGCGGCACCTGTTCCTTGTTTGGCAGCAGGGGGGTGACCCCTGAAGCAGTATTCGACACCACTAAATCGAGTCTTGCTCCCCATTTAGCTTCTTCCGCAACCTAAGCCTAAGCCTTTAAGTGTAAAACTTCCAGCTTGACAACTTCCCTCCACCAGAGACGACAAACTCCTTCAACCACCGAAGACTCCTGAGATCATTGTTGGCCTCCCTTTTCGGGGATCCTGGATTGAGGGCTTCGTGGGGGCCAAAAAAAACGCGCCAAACATATGGGAGTTTTCGAGAACAGGGGACCCGAATAGAATACCCTAAATAGTAGGATCCTAACTATAAGGACCCCAGAATAAAGGTACCCCTAATATTCGGAAACTCCCATATGGAGGCTCTGGCTCTGAACTCTAAGCCCGTAGACCCGAGGATCCTGAAGTTAAGAAACGAAACATAACAGGGATTAGGGTTTACCTATAGTCTCCATTGTAGTTCACTTTTTGGGGCTCATATTTAGAATTCTATAAGGTAATCCCAAAAAGGAACTACTTTGGGGCCTATGGATATAGTGACTACCTATAGTCTCCATTGTAGTTCGCTTGATTGCTACATCCCTGTCGAACCAGAAACCACTATCCTCAACCCTTCGTCTTCGTGGCTGTATAGATCATGGGACATATCGTCGTTTAGATCGTTCTATCAATATGGGAGTGTCTGAAAATAGTGGACCCCAATATAATACCCTAAATCGTAGGATCCTTATTATAAGGACCCCAAAATAAGGCACCCCTAATTTCTAGGTAGGGCTTTGGGACATTTTATATTCCCCCTTGTTGGGGTTAAGAGGATCTTATTTACCAATATTTTTCAAAGTCTTTAAAAGCCCCACCTAGATTTTGGGAAATCCCCATATGAACCCCAAGCCTGGCCCAAGGTCTCTTTAAGGTTCTGATCTGAGGCCTCGACCCCGGGCCAAAGGGTCCTACCTATAGTCTCCGTTGTAGTCCTTTTTTTGGTTAACCAAAATCTCTATTATAGGGTCCTAACCATAAAACTGGTTAACCCAAAAAGAGGAACTACAATGGAGACTATAGGTAAGTACCTGGAGAGTAGGGTGTTGCAAGGTCTAGTACAGTAGGAGTCGCTGTCACGGTTTGTACCTAGAGAGTAGAAGGCAAGGTTTAGTACAGTAGGACTCACTGTTACAGCACCTTAACCCCGAGTAACGCACCTTTTCAAGGACTTATATAAAGAAATCATACTAGAGAACTCTGAAGAGGCAGGTTCCTTAAGGTCCAGGTATGGTTTGATAAGTACTTCCCTTTGCCAGAGCAGGCCCGGTCAGCTGGGCGACGAGGCGGCGAAAGCTCCCGAGGAGGACGGGGAGAAGCTGTTGGAGTTTTACAACATCCTAAACACCAAAGCCCACAACTTAAACCCCAAACCCCCGTAAACCCGGTAGCTCGACCCCTGAAGACTAAGACGTGAACGCTAGACTCTGAAGCCTGAACCCTGAATTTCGCACTAAATCCTGAATCAAACCCTAAACCCTAAAACTAAACCCAAGACACCTCTATAAACTCTAAAAGCCGGACATCTTGAGCCTAAAACCTGAACCCTAAACCTCAGTCAAACCCAAAAAGCTCCCCAAGGAGGACGAGGAAAAACTCATGGAGCTCGAGGCCTAAAGCTCGGGACTCTCATAGGGACTATAGAAGAAGCCAGAAAGTTGGAATATCATTATCGCATCCCCTTTGAGGTAAATTATAGGGGATCCTACCATTAATCCATATTCCAACTTTCTGGAGTTCCCTTTAGGGGGGTAGTTTAGGGTTTAGGGGTAGGGGGGAGGGGGCAGGGTACTAGACTTCTTCAAAATGGCCAGGTACTAAGGCCCCCTACCGCCCTCCCCCCTACCCCCGTAAAGGTCCTTATGAGGATTATAGGGTTGGGTAGGTTTCGTCATTGTCGTTTTATGCGGCTTACGTATTAGGGTTTAGGGTTATAGCTTTCGGGCTTAGGGTTGACGGGTTTCAGGTTAAGGGTTTATTGTTCCTCTGTCTTCCAATGGTTACAACTAAGTGCTTTTGAAGGTTACTATAAGTCAGGCTTCCGGGCTTCGAACTTGAGGATTTTGAGGTTCAGGGAATTAGCTTTGAGGGTTTCGGGTAAGAGGTTCAGGGTCGAGTCTAGGCATGGGAACCTAACGCGCATGGCCCTTCAAACCCGTAATTGTCCTCAGGCATGGAGGCGGAATCATTGGCCTGAACAAACCGCTTATACCCTAAACCCTAAACCCCTAAACCCTAAACCGCAAAAAGCCTCAACACCCCTGTAGGCCAAGTCTCGCAGCGACTACAACCTCGGCGTACGCCTTCTCAAGGGGAAGGGCGTCGAGAAAGACGAAGCTGGGTCCTCGAACGATTTTGTTTTATGAACCCAGAGACTCCGATATCCCTTAATTAACAGTAATATTCCTTAATCCATACTAAGGATCTTGTATAATTTAAGGCATATTCCTTCATGAAGGGATATTGGAGTCTCTGGGAAAGCGGTTCAGAAACTTCCGTTTCAGATTATGCAGAGGAGCCTGCAGGACCTGGTGCACATGAGGTTCTGCTTGTACATGTTTAGGCTCAGGTTCGGCATAGTAAAGCTTTATATATTGGTTTAGGAGAGGATGTTCTATTGGTAGATGTTGGGGCTTGATTAGTGATACCTTGAATTCGTGTTCGATTCACAACCGCATTTTGGGTAGGTGGTGTCGATGTCGTTGTTGCTTTTGTTGCTGCTGCAGCTCGTTCTGTATGTGGGGTTTTCTCTCTCTGTGTTTGTGTATGTGGATATCTCTATTTTTACATTTTCTTCATATGTACATGTAACACATAAAGCTGCCGTAATTGCCTTACAGAATTGCTTTGTCTGATGCCTTATCTTGCATTATCGAGACTCTTTTCCGGCGGGTCCTAGGGTTACCTGGTGGCACAACCCTTGACTGCACCTTAAACATGCCTTCCAAAACGCCGGAACTCAACCCAATAGATCCATTACATACCCGGATCAAGATCCTGCAAAAAGTCAGAAGAACAACCTTTAACAAACAGCAGACAGAACTCCCAACAAAAACCTACACAAGCCCAGAAGAAGGCGAGCCCAAGCCCCGAATAGAACCTATTTAAATCCGCAAAAAAAAAAAACGAAACGAAAAGCCCTAAACAATAAACCCCCGAAGCCCTAAACCCTAAACCCCCTAAGCCCTAAAGCCTAAACCCTAAACCCCCTAGGCCCTGAACCCTGGACCCCTAAAGCCCTAAACCCCCCAAAAGACCTCTCTTTAAAGACCCCGGCCGAGGTGGAGGCGGCCCGGTGCTTCCGAGAAGCTGCCGACCTGGGCCATCTCAAGGCCTCGGCTGTGGAGCAAGGCTTTGGGGTTTGAGGGGCTGCAGGGGTTTAGGGTTCAGGGTTTAGGGGTTAGGGGCTTAGGGTTTAGGGATTTAGGGCTTAGGGGTTAGGGGTTTAGGGGTTTATAAGGGTTTAGGGGTTTAGGGTTTTGGCTGCGAATGCGCTTTCGACCCCTCCATGGTGGTTGGGGTCGGCGCATGAGCTGCAATGCACGCCCGCCCACCCAAATTACAAACCTTGAACGGGTTTAGGGTTGTTGTCTACCCCCGCAACACCCCCACCTATCAGGGGGGGCTTATATGGTTTGGAGGAACCACCTTTTGAAAGCCATGCTGAAACGTCAGTAATTGCATTCTCTAAGTAAGAGCCGAGATGGCAAGGAAACAAACAAAAACATTCACGCAAGCTGGACATGGAAATAGACTTACTAGCTGTATCGGTGCTCCTGGCGGCGTCTCTGCACCAGACGTGCGGGCGGAATGGAGCTCAAAGGAAAGTGTCAATATCCGGTCAGGTGCACGCAGCGAAATAAAAGTTGTGATATTGAAAAATCAGATAAATGCAGTCGCAGCTGTCTGTACACTCAGAGCCACGCAGCAACGACTCCCAACAGTCACTACGCACGAAGAATCGCGCACTGCCCTCGACAAGCTTGTTGCGAGAGGTTTTTTTTTTTGTTTAGACCTTTGAGGCTTTAGAGACTACTGCGGTTTACAGGCTCTGCTGAAGACCGAGAAAGTTTCAATTTTGCGGTTACACCTTTGAGGCTTTAGAGACTACTGTGAGCTGCCGGATCGAGCAATATTGCGTTATAGTTGTTTCTTGCTTCTGATATAACACCCACCCAGCCGAAGAATTTCTTAACCTAGGAAAATAAATGTTTGATTGGCATGCAGCATGTCTGTCATCTTTTGTGTTGTCCCGAACATGACATAACTTCGGAACAGGTATCGAGCTTGCTATGAACTACCAAATCGAAGTTGCGATCCTGCGCTGCAAGGCTTCTCTCGTTGCGTTATCGGCTCAAAATTGAAGTCCCATCGCCACAGTTGCGCCGACCGGTGTGACCCGCGCTCGAAGGCTGGGTGCTTGCAGTTGGTTTTCGCGTCACTCAGACGCTGCAACTGAATATGCAAGGGGTTGCTTCACCGACTTAGTGCTCGGGCCGTTTTCTCTCGAGTTTGCAGCGAGTATGGAGGCGGGGTCCGACAATGAGTGGGGCGACTGGTCTGCTACAGAGCAGGCCAGGAAATCCCGGCTGCCCATGTTCACAGTGCTGCCCTGCTCGGCCGGTGTACGCCCACCGAGCCCGGACGCGCGAGAAATGAAGGGCAAGGCGAGCAGCAGCAAGGATGTCGTCCTTCCCAAAGCGGAACCCGAGCCAGTGGTGCGGTCCAGCAAGGGCTACCCTGTGCCATTTGGCCCGCAGAATCGGGTTTAGGGGTTTAGGGCTTCGGGTTTAGGGGTTTAAGGGTTTCGGGTTTAGGGGTTTCAAGTTCAGGGGTCTAGGGTATATAGGGGTTTAGGGGTTCAGGGGTTTAGGGCTTGGGGGTTTAGGGGCTTAGAGTTTAGGGTTGAGGGGTTTAGGGTTCAGGGGTTTAAGGGGGCCTTCCCTAAGACTCCAGAATGTGCAAACAGTACCTACCTACATTGGGTTCAACCCTAAACCTTAAGGGCCAGCTTCAGGATTCCCGGGCCTAAGGGTACTTAGAGTTCGGATCCAGAGCATCCATATGAGAGATTCCGAAAACTAGGGGTGCTATATATTAGCGTCCCCTATCTCAAAGCCTTCCTGGCAATCCCAAAACCTACCGTTTTAAAGGTTCTGCTTTAGGGGCCTTCATAATTAGAATAGGGTTTGGCGGGTTCCTTATTATGATTATAGCAAAATGTCCCCAAACCCTATTCTAACTATTCAGGCCCCTTACATCACCTAGATTGGGGTCCAACATCTATCACTGATACCCCTAAACCCTAAACCCTAAGCCTACTTTGGGCTATTTGAAGTTCGAGGCCTTGGTTGAGGAGGAGCGATGCTTTGCGTTTGGTTTAGGTGTTTAGTGCTTAGGGTTTTAGTGTTTAGGGGGTTTGGAGCTTAGTGCGGTTAGGGTTTAGTAATTTAGGGGTTGGGGTTTAGGAATTTCGGGCTCTAGGTTTGTTTTGGGCGTTTTAGGCTTGAAGGTTTTGCGGCTTTCGTGCTTGGTGGAGTGGTTGCTATTGGGTATAGTCTCCTTAGGATGTTTTATATTTTTGTTCACATAAAGCCCAAGAGAATATTAAACATACTAGTGTTATTATGGTTCTAAGGGGGGGTATAGTTGAAGGTATAGAGTTGAAGGCTCAGATTCTTAATGTTTCGGCTTCCGGTTTTCGGGCTTAGGGTGTCATTACCCCCGCTCCCCGATGGAAGAAGGGGCCACTTACAGCTTGTTGGAAAAAAAGTTGCATTCCTGATTGTTCTGAGTTTTTCGCGAAAAACGGAATTGCAGGATTCCGGAAGCTACTGGGGAATTCGAGCGTGTTAGATCGGTTTGCTGCCAAGAAAGGAAAGTTGCATTGCGCATGATCTTGTTTTCCGGGCTTTTGGGGAGATCCCATTTGAGTCGACTCCCGGAGTTGACATCAAGCAGAAGATGAAAAAGTATGCAGGCGGCTACGAGATCGAAGCGTCGGCTATGGACCTGTTGCTGTCAGCATGCGAAGAACTGGTGGCTCAGCATTTCTTCACGAGCAGTCAACTAATGCAGCAGCGGCGCCCCAAAAGGAAACAAAGGAGGAGGTGGAGAAAGAAGCCCGGTTCCTTCAGACTTGGCCCGGGCCGGAGAGAAACCCTACTCACGGAGGTTTCGTTCTGGAGAGCTGAGGATTTCAGAGTCCCGATGTTGGCGGTTTGTGGCGCCTTGAAAGAATTTAGGGGTTTGGCTTGTTTGAAGATTTGTTTTATGAGTTTAGGACCTAGGGTTAGGGTTTAGTCAGAGATTGTAGTTGCTGTCTCACATTGCTGTTACCAGTATATCAGCTGAGGAGGTTAACGTTTTAAACTTTGCCGTTTGTTTGTTAAGAGGTTAAATAGGGGTCAAGTTTCGAAAGGGTTGAACCGACGCAGGCCCCACACCCCACCAGGTTTTTTTCATCCCCCCTCATTCTCCGCAATGCGTCCGAGCGCAACAGGCCTCCTACGCCTTAGGGGTGATGCTGTTGAATGGGCCGCGCGGCAGAATCAAGGTCCTTTTGCATTAGGGGGCGTCGTTCAGGGTTTAGGGTTGGGGTTTTTAGGGTTTAGGGGCGTTGTTTTGGGACCCAGTGAGTTAGTTAGTTAGTTAGTTAGTTAGTTAGTTAGTCAACTGCGTAATTAGTTAAATCAAGATATACCACCAAGAACCTTCTCATATTTCAGGCCCACCAGTTGCAGTGAATATTCATGGTCGGACCCAAAACAGACTCCACAAGATCATAGCAAGTCTTTGGGCTTGACTTGGAGACTTATTACATCGAGGTCTGAAAAGTCCAACTGAGTGAATGTTATGGTTATCTGAAGCATACCCCCCCCCCCCCCAAAGCCCTTGTTCCATATCAACAGGGGCCGCCATACCCTTTACACCCGAAAACCCCAAACCCTTATCCAGAACGCGGATGAAGCCTCACACAGAACGATCAAGAAACCCCAAAACGGCGTATATGTTGCCGGAGACCCCACAGTCGAAGCTTCAACCTTAGTTCTGAGGGGCCAAAGGACTTGACAAATAGGTATTTGGCGTCTGGGTTTGTGGGTTTAGTAAGTTTAGTACTTGGGAGAGAAGCTGATGATTAAGCATTTGACCCGTAGGATTTCCAGCAACTGAGGCAGGGCGTGGGCAAGGACGAAGTGCTCGCAGGAGCCTACCTGAAGCAAGCGGCACAGGTGAGGGCTGAAGGGAGGGCGGTCCGGCAGTCTAGGGCTACGGTTTAGGGTTTAGGGTTTAGGTCGAGGGCTACTTGTAGTTGGGCGTAGATTGGGTAGATTTAAGCAAGGTGGGATTTCAGCTCGAATCATGCCGCATCCAGAACAGCGTGCAGAGCCGTTCGATCCTAAACGCATGAGCCCTAAAACCAAATTCCAAGCAGTTTCAAATTTTGGCATCTCCTCATCCCCAAACTTAGCATGGTCAGGACAAGAGCAGTTTAGGGTTTAGGGCATACCACCTCTTTTTCTGATGCCCCAGTTCTGGACTATAAAGCTAAAAGTACAAAAGCTTGAATGATTGCCAACGTTATCCCTTAAGGCTCCTTGTCATTGCCTCTGTAAAAATCTGCCCCCCAAAACCTATACTCTAACTATCAAGGCCCTATATGGGGGTTTCCGAAAATAGGGGACCCTAATATAGTATTCTAAATAGTAGGATCCTTGTAATAAGGATCCCAAAATGAGGTACCCTAATTTTTGGAAACTCCCATATATTATCCAAGATGGATCAGGCCGGCGACCCCAAAGCGATGTACAACTTGTCCCTGATGTACCAGAACGCCATAGGCAGATGGCTTGCTTGTATTGGGCGGGGGTATTCGGCGGGTGGAGGCACTGTAGCATTCGGTGTCTATAGGGGAGAGTTTCCGAAAATACGGGACCCTACTATAGTACCCTAAATAGTAGGATCCTTATTATAAGGGCCCCATTTTAAGATAGGGGACCCTAATATAGTATCTTAAATAGTAGGATCCTTATTAAGAGGGCCCCATTTTAAGGGGACCCCTAATCTCCGGAAACTCCCAGGGCGGTTTGCAGAGTTTAAGGATTCAGGGCTGCCGGTCTGGGGTTTAGGCATTGGGACCCGCTTTCTGAACTAGGTAGGGCTTTGGGACATTTTATACTTTCCCTTATTGGGTTTAAGAGGATCTTATTTTTTTCTGTTTTTCAGGAGCTTTAAAAGCCCCACCTAGTGAAGGTTCAATCCGGATGCCAAGGGCCACGCAAAAGGACTGATTGTTCTAGCGGAAGTTGGCGCAATAGGAGTGTGGTTGTAAGTGTGTCGGTCTTCTCAGCTGTTCTGGGTCAAGGGTTAGGTTTGACGGTCTCGGCCGATAGGCGATAGGTGTGATGCTCCAACCTTCGGAGATGGAGAGAATTACGTTCAGGACTTAGACTCTTAGACTATTATCGGAAAAAGTTGCATACCTGAGCCGTCAGTGAATGCTAGAGCTCTGAATTAAATCCAATGTTGCAGCTCAAAGCCAGATCCAACAGCCAGATAACCTGAACTGCAACCCCAAATTTATGATGCATTTTGTGAAGTCATGTTCTTCGTCCATACATCCACATGAACGGTTGAGAGAGAGACAAAGAGAATGACAGGGAGAGACAGAGAGAGAGATGGCGAGAGCGGGCGAGACACAGACAGAGCAGCCATCAGTGCGGTGCATTGGCTTTCGGTCTGGTTGATGGAGACCTCGAAGCACGTAGGACCTTCACAAGCATGGTTTTGAGATGCTGTTCCGGTGTCCCGCTAGAGTTCAAGAAATGTAGGGACTTGGCTCAGGGTGACAGGGGTTTGCTGTGGCTTGTGCCCAATCATGACCCTATTCAGGTCACCGCACTATAACTAGGTAGGGCTTTGGGACATTTTATATTTGCTCTTATTGGCCTTAAGAGGATCTCATCTAGGCTTTAAAAGCACCCCTAGACAATGTAAGGCTTCTAGGTTTGCGTGTTCTGTCTTGAGGTGAATGTTAGTTCTAAACTCTCGACCACGACTCTTCATCCATGACGCCGAAACCCAGGCCCCAAGACCTACAGACTTCTTCTTAAACCAGGCTGTTCAGTGGTAAACTCTTTTACTTTCAGGTTTCTGGGTTCCTATTATAAATCAAGAAGCCCAAGAGAGTATATTATTTTTCCCAGTGGGTTACTGAACAGCCTAGCAAAGGATCATGACACTTAGTGGCATGGCTACAGGTATAGCTTAAGAAGGGTGTTTGAGGTCTATTCCCCTTAAGACAAGACTTCGTAGCTGTTGTGCCTCAAGTCCATGGATCCTGACAATAGTCCTCTTAAGTATAAGAGCATGCAAGAATCAGCCTACTAGAGATCCCTTATAGACTCTAAGGAACCCTATTCTGAATATCAAGGCCCCCTACATTAGTCACCCCCTGAGCTCCACCTCCGGCTGCCTCGGCTCTCGAGGTGTCAAAAGGGACCTCGATGTTGCGAAGGAGTGGATGGAGCAAGCAGCGAAACGAGGTCACAAGAAGGCCAGCGAACTCTCCCTTAAACCGTACCTTCTACTACATGTTCATTAAAAAATTCTACATTATCATTAGAGGTCACAAGAGGGCCAGGGAGCTACGGGTACATTATACTATAATCATAATAAGGAACCCCCGCAATAGTCCCTAAACTTCTAGACCCTAAACCCTACACCTTGGGACGAGATCACAAGAAGGCAGGTGAATTCTCCCTAAACCCCAGGTTGAACTACGGTTGGTTTGCGAGTTTCCCTAAAGAGCCAGCAAAATGTAGGATATGCTTGTTTAAGGGAAGCCCTCGAAGCGAGACGATGTCTAGACTGCTTTACTTTATCATAAGGTTTAGGGCAATCTTTGTCTTGGCTGGGGTAACATGACATTTTACCTCATCGCGGGTACTTAAACCCAAGAAGGGGGAGACATGTCATCTTTTAGTACTATCCCAGCCATGGACTCGTTTAGCATAGCCTCCTGGCAGCGGTGCAGATCAAGATCTACATGCTATACCCTCAACCCCAACCCTGAACCCTGAACCCTCAACCCTGTTCGAGGCCTTGAGGAGCAAGAGCATCAAAGTCTTTGGTGCAGGGCCCTGGATGGAGACTCTGCTGGCAGTTGTGGCCTCGATTTTAGGGTTTAGGGTATTGGACCCCAAGCCTTGCCTCAACCCTGAATAGCCTACCTTTCGAAGAGTGCAGATACACATATAAGAAAATCATACTGAAGCGGCCCTAAAGTTTCGATCCCACTACTACTGTTGACGATATAAATCCTGCATGAACCATAATAAGGAATATACCATAATTCCCATATATTCCTTATTATGGGTAATGCAGGTTCTATATCATCAACCGCATGTCCGAAACCCTGAAACCTGACAGAAGAGTTTGGGGTTCAGAAGTTCAGGGTTTAGGGCCCAGGGGTTTCGGGTTTAGGGGTTTAGAGTTTAGGAAAGCTTTTTTTTATATCTTATATGACCCCTGGGGACATGGCACGATGTTTCTGTGCACGAAGAGTACCAGAAGTAGAGGAACTTCGACGCAAGCTGACTCTTTTTGTTTTTGAGCTGTCGGCCCTGCCACTCCAAGCTGGGAGCCACAGTTTCACAATTCAGTGTTGGGTTGGACCAACAAGGCAACAATTATGATAGCAGCAGGCAAAATTTTCCCATCAAGGTGGTTTCTTGGTTTTCTTATGTGATGGAATTGACCAAAATTGAGCTACCCAGTAGAGTCCTCCGGAATGAAACGGCGGCGTCGGGGGGATGCGTGCTTCCGCAAGTCTAGGATGACGACTTCGTGGAGGTGCTAATGATGATGCCAAGTTCCAGAAACTCAGCCAACCATGAGATGCCCGGAACCGGAGTTTTGTTCCATGTAGGAATGCAGGCAACAAGACTGACTTGTCACGACAAGCCGTAGTCCAGTAGCAGGGCCGGTAGGGTTGACATGGGTAGTTGTCAAAATCATGGTTCCTTTTTTGTGGGTGCCCTAAAGATTAGGTGCCGTGGTATACTAAGGACCGAAAAAGGGACCATAATTTTGACAACCACCCTGACATGATTCAGTCGAGATATCCCCGCACTATGCCGTCTGGAAGGTTTCGGGGGACGAACCCTGAACCCTCTTAGATAGTGAACAGGGGAACTTTAAGCTTTTTGGCCTTATATATATATATATATATATATATATTTATGTGTATATATATGTATATATATATATATATATATATATGTATATATATATATATATATATATATGATATATATATATACATATATATATATATACATATCTATTAGCTCTATCTTAGGAAGTTTGAACTTTTTTGGGCCGGTTGTTGCAGAAGAGAGCCCTAAACCGTCTGACGACAAATCTGATCTGGCTGCCAGTCCCCCGAACTTTTTAGGGTTCAGGGTTCATCTGCAGCTTATCATACCATCCAGAATTCAAGATTCCAAACGCTACAACTCAGTCAGACAGTTCAGACCGAGGAGAACTATGTATATGTATATATATATATACACACATATTAATACATATGATGTGTATATATATATATATGCGCCCATACGCATGTAGACACCCATGTTCACACATGTACATCCCTGCATGTATGTCTAAACATACACACTTGCTCACTTCCCTGATTACCTAGCTATCGGTTTACTTACATAAACGGCAGGAAGTCAGAGCTGTCGATTTTGGAGCCCAACCTAGCATAACACAGCATCACGATACACCAAATCATTCATCCAGGATTACGACCCTGACGAGATGGGTGTCGACAGGATCGTGAAGGAGGCGCCTGCTGGCTGTTTGTGGTATTTTCTCCAGAACCCCAGACTCCCACATCTAAACCGCATTAAAGGTTTGGCGCGAGGTTCTGGTGAGCTGGCTAAAGAAGCAGGTGATACCGGGCATGTGTATTTCGGCATCCCAGGTGTTTCGGGAACTGCTTGCACGGTCTTCGGTTTTGGGGTTCAGAAATTTCCTAGGCGAGAATCCCAGTACCCAGAAAACATAAACCTTATAAGCCCTTAACCTTAGAAGCTGCCCCCATCCTGTAATAGTGACTATAAGGATTATATATTAGGGCCCTAGTATATTCCTATTATACCACTATTACAGGGTGGGGGCCCTTCTAACCTAAACCTTAAACCCCAACCCTCAGACTCAGTCTCCAGACCGCCCCCAGAGTACGTGCTCGTTACTGTAATTACAGGCTTAAGGCAGCACAGCAGGTTCTATTTGTGTATTAAAACTTGGAGTGTTTTGGAGTTCTAGGGTACAGTCCTACCTGTATAGTAGAAATAACTTCAAGCCTGCAGCAAGCCTGCACCAAAAACATTCGGCTTTGGCTTCTAGGATGCCCAGTAGTACCCTTATTCCCTTTTTATAGTCCTAGGTTCCTTATAAAGTTACCCAATACCAAAAAGAGAGGCCTTTTTATTCTTAGGTTACTGGGTATCCTAGGCTTTCTGTTGAAGTTTTCGGGCTTGGCGCTCTCGAGTTTGGGATTCTGGTGGGCTTGCGAGTGCAAAAGCCTAAGCTTATGGTGATTTTGCGGGGAAACGCCTGAGCTTACGGTGTGTTCTGAGCAAGAAAAAGCTTCAGATTGTGGGGGTTTTGGGTCTAGGGTTTAGGATTTAGTGTTTAGAGTTTAGGGTTTAGGGCTGCCAAACAACCCCAAAACTCTGCGGAGCCGCACGAGCCGGCTCAGGCCAAAGCCGGCAACACCCACGCGCAGCTGCCTGGCCTGGATATAACTCTAGTATCCTTAGGAGCTATTGGTTTAGGGTTTAGGGTTTAGGGGTATCCTTAGGAGCTATTGGTTTAGGGTTTAGGGTTTAGGGGTATCCTTAGGAGCTATTGGTTTAGGGTTTAGGGTTTAGGGGTATCCTTAGGAGCTATTGGTTTAGGGTTCAGGGTTTAGGGGTATCCTTAGGAGCTATTTTTTAAATTTTGTTCATATAAAACCCAAGAGAATGTTTTGTATTTTGTTCATACAAACCCCAAGAGAATATATGGGAGTTTCCGAAAATAAGGGACCCTAATATAGCACCCTAAATAGTAGGATCCTTATTACAAGGACCCCAAAGCAAGGTACCCTAGTTTTCGGAAACTCCCATATGGGCCTTAATTATTAGAACAGGGCTCCTTTAACGGATTCCTTAAAAGGGGACTATTATAAAGGATCTATATGGCATAGGGGCCTAAATCATTACCTAAACGATTTTGGGGGTTCCTTAAAATATCTATAGTATATCGGGCCCACAAACCCTAATCTAAATATTAAGGCCCCTATATTACAGTTATTACAGGCTTGCGGACCCTGAGCCCTAAGGCCCAAAAGGGTTTGCAGAAACATCATAGACCCGAAACCCCATCAGAGATAAGGTTTAACACAGGGGTCGGTATCATCATTTATACTCCCATATAGCCATGTAGGAATATGCTGCAAAAAGACATAGCTTTCCAGCTAGGGGGCCCTCAAAATTTGGCTTGGCGCGGGAAGACACCAACCCACTAATCACTAACCAGGATAGTGGTACTTACCTGAAGGTCTCTCAATTGTACCACGTTTTACATAGTATGTGTGGAGGTGGGGCTTACCCAAGATAGAATCAGGGTTCAACTCACTAATGCAAAGTTGTCTAGGTACAGCGACCCATGCTTCGCAGGATCCATTTGTCCTTACTGCATGCTTAGGATTAGGCTCCAAGACCATCGAAACCCTCGACCTTGAGGCCCGAAATCCCTACAGCCCTAGAGTGAAGCGCGGAAAGTTGCAACATGAGTGAAGGATGATCCTTGCTGACTTCTGTATGCCTTGGAAGAAGGGCATCAGCGGAATCCTGCTCCAAGTTTCTGGCTTCTATTGTAAATAAGCCCTTCAAGCTCTACAGGCCTGAAGCTGTAACCTGGTCATGCCCCCAAGGGTCCAATGACCTAGAAATCATACACTCTCCGAAATCCCAACCTACATAGCTACTATCCTAAAACTCAGTGCCTAATTATTGGGTCCTTTGGACCCTTCGGGTTACTAGCTTTGAGGCTCCTTCCTTGTGTTAAGTGGAGACCTGCTAAGACCTGGCTCACGACTGCCAGAAGCTGGTTTTATTTCAGCAGCTTCCCGTTATATGGTAGTTTCAGAGTTTGTGGTATGCCTCAAACCAATGCTTCTTTAGTTTGGGGATACACAAGGCTGCTCATTTGCGATAACTCCTGAGAGGTTTAGGTTCTGAGTCCGGGGTTTGCTAGGTAAGCTCATTACAAGAATGCCGTGGACCAGTTCGCAGCGACTGCTTCGGTTGATGATATAAATCCCGCATTACCCATAATAAGGAATAGATGGGAATTATGGTATATTCCTTATTATGGGTCATGCAGGATGTATATCATCAACAGTTCCATGCTTTTGAGGTTTCGGTTGGGAAGTATGTACTACGAGGGCGAGAAGTTTGCTCCAGACAAGGCTGGAAAGGGAGGGAGGGTTCGAAGGCTAAACCTGTGACCCTGAAAATCCTGAAGACACGATTCTCCAAGTGTAAAAGGAGGGACCCTTTGGAAGGACCCCTAGGTAAATACCCTTAATATAGCTATTATATACCCATTATATAGCCCATGATAGGGTAGGGGTCCCCATTAAGGGTCCCTCCTTTTCCCATGAATCCTAAACCCTAAACCCTAAACCCTTATAGATCCCTTTAAAGGAACCCTGAGAGCCCTAAGTTAAGGGTCCCTCCTTTTCCCCTTTGAGATTCAAAGAGGTTACGGTCCCAGCACCCCGGACCCTATCGCCTGTAAGCTCACAACCCGGGGTTCCTTGAACCCCAACTGGAGAGAACCCGAAACCCACTACAGTGTTGAAAGCTGAAGGCTTAGGGCGTAGGACGAACCCTAAACCAACCCTAATGATTAATGGAGCAGAAAACTTGAAATACGTGACTATGCAGTCAGCTTGCGATTGCTTTGTTCGTGGATTTCATTTGTCTCGCTTGGTTTGTTGATGTTTTTCGGACGGAGTGACGTCCGGGCTTACCGTCACCGTGTTAGTCAGACCCTGTTTTGTACCCGATACGCCGTAAAGCTTTAAGCCAACTTCTCATGGGCTTGACCCCTCTATTCTCACATAGGCTCCATGTACCCATATGGTATATACTTAGGCCTTAAAGTACCTATATAGGAACCCCTTTAAAGCCTAAGTATCTACTACTATAAAGGTACATGGAGCCTTTGGGTCTGATGTGATACAGAACCATCGCCCAGCTCGGGGTTTAAAGTTGACGGGCAATGCAAAACCTCCCGAACCCAGAGACTCCAATATCCCTGAATTAAGGAATATACCTTAAATCATATAAGGGATCCTACTATAATTTGAGGTATATTCCTTAATTAAGGGATATTGGAGTCTCTAGGAACCAAACCCAGAACCTTCAAGTTTCAGGTGCATGAAGCAACTGTTCGAATCCCTTTTGAACCCCTCAACCCTAAACCACTAAACCCTAAACCCCTAAACCCTAAAGCCCTAAACCCCAAACCCCCAACTCTAAATCCTCTCTGTCTAGGCATCCGGGTGCGGGTCTTTGGGGCACCCCGGGCCCCTCCAACTCTCTAGGCTCGGCCCCAGGACCCTTAAAGGGCCCGAAGCACCTACCCCAAGGGTCCGAAGTTCCAAAAGGTACCTGGCCAAACCATAGTAATTCCTGATATAGAAACCCTGGACCCTACCTCATGCTTTTATTCATTGTATCCCCTGAGAGTCCACTCAAGTCCACTCAGAACGAAATATCCGTACTAAGCCCAGGGGCATGGAAAGCACTCTATCTAAATCTCTATCACTCACTATCTTCGCCTCTGCTTCTGTCTTTGTCTCTCTGTGTCTATCCCCATCCCGATGTCTATTCATGTTTCTCTATTTGTCCATCTCTCTGTTCCTCGATCCCTCTATGTCTCTATCTATCTATCTATCTATCGACCGAGCGACCGATCTCTCTGTCTATCTATCTATCTCTCCATCACTCTATCTATTTTTACCATACCATAATCCAAACCCAGAGGGTCCAAGTCCCCAAATAGTAGGGTTTCAGGTCCCAAAATCCATACTCTGAGTGGTTTTTGAACCTTGAAACCTTACTATTTGGGCACTTGGACCCTTAGGGAAAATTCCTACTCTCACCATGAAGAGCCGTCATATTTTCACGAAAGCTGAAGCCTCCGATCGAAGCACCCGAAGATGAAGCACGTCTTCTAGGATGCCCAGTAGTACCCTTAGGGATCTATAAGGGTTCCTTAAAGGGATCTATAAGGGTTCTATAAAGGGTTTAGGGTTTCCGAAAATTAGGGGCTAGGATGCCCAGTAGTACCCTTATTCCCTTTGTTGTAGTCCTAGGCTCCTTATGAAGTTACCCAATACCAAAAAGAGAGGCCTTTTTATTCTTAGGGGACTGGGTATCCTAGTTGTAGCCCTGAACCCGAAACCCTGAAGCTTAAACCCCAAACCCAGAGACTCCCGAACCCAGTAACTGGGGATTCCCTAAAATCATACTAGGGTTCCGCCGTCACGGAGACAGAACAGAAGGAGCTGATAACGCGGATTCGCGTGCGAATATAACCCTAAGGGTCCATGTACCCAAATAGTATATACGATGGCATTCCCGATTTGGGTACTTTTGGTAGTATTGGGTACATGGGCCCTTTGGGATAAGACCATCGACAGCATCCACAAGATGTTGGTCGATCAGCCAACAAGTATGACCAAGTCCCGAAGTTGATCAACGGTCGCATCAAAGCAAAGGCTTTATGAAGAGACCAAGGAGAAGAACAGAGAACATGAAATGCACAAACGATCGAGGATATTCAGTGATGACATACTTGCGTTATAGGGACATTAAGACTCAGAACACGTTTCTTTCAACGTAAGGTATCTCTAAAGCCGAGTTAACGGGAATAATGCCGGGTCCTTCATATTTGGAGCCCTGTTTGGATTTGTGTAGCCTGGTGGCCTTTAAAAGTTTGAAGAGGGTTATGGTGTAGTTTGTAGTCTTTTAACAATTGCATACAAACTTCTCGAGGATGTTATAGGTTATAACCCATGATTCACATCTCTGTGTTGGAGTCACCAACCTAAACCATGTGGCACTCGCGCGGGTGTCGAGATTAGTGGTTCAGGGTTGTAGGGGTTAGGGTTGTAGGCATAGTGGTTTTGGTCTTGGGTTTAAGGGTATCGGGGACTGCTTCCTGTGCAAAGTGGAGGCTTGTTCACAAGGCGAGGGCGAATGTCAAGTCTTGAGACTTGAGACCCTCCGTTTATGCCTGAGCTTGCACCCGTAAACTTAAGCCGTTTTTCCTGCCCAAATTGCTGTACGCCTAGACCTGTCCACCAACACCCCAGACTCTCAACCCCAAACTCCCTACACATCCCTACACGCTTAATCAAGCCTCGGTCCCGAAGCACTATAAACCTTAAACCCTTCTAAACCCCAAACCGGAAGCAGGCCCAAGCATCCTACTGGTTCCTGGGCCGCACCGGTAAGGGTTTTGGTTTGAGGAGTTTAGGGTTTAGGGGTTCAGGGTTTAGAGGTTTAGGGTTTAGGGATGAACGGAAGCATCGCTGGCACGGGATTCCGAACTTTAGCAACATTCTGGGCTTGGGCTGTCGGCTTAGCGAAGACAGAGGCCGTTGTTGTTTTGTGTTCTTGAATGTTCTATTGTAGATTCACATGAATTTCGTGAGTGTATCATGGATATTGCTTGTATTCGACGTGGGTAGTTGTCAAAATGATGGTCCCTTTTTGGGTCCCTACTATAGTACGGCACTAAAAATTTAGGGTACCCAAAAAGGGACCCTAATTTTGACAACCACCCACGTGGTATTGGCAGTGTTCTGTTCTAGAGTCCGTTGGACCCTAAACCCTGAACCCCCAAAGGCCCCTCCTAAACCACCCCAATAGATCTTGTAAAGGAACCCTAAACCGCAAACTGTAAAGGGAACTCCAGAAAGTTGGAATATGGTTTCAGGGTAGGATACCTTACAATTTACCAAAATGGGTTTAGGATAATCATATTCCAACTTTCTGGCTTTTACTTTAGCACCATCTTCGGCATGGGCTTTGGGCTGGTCAGGCTCGGGACGGATGGACGGATGGATGGCTGGACCTACTGCTGACGATAGAAATCCTGCATGACCCATAATAAGGATTCTACCATAGTTCCCACAGTTTAGGATCATTAAGGTAATGCAGGATTTATATCATCAACCGCACCGAAAACCTCGAAACTCAATTGTGGTTTGCGTGGGGCTACAAGTAAACCCTGACTCTTTGACCCGATCCGTCTTCTGGATGTAGGAATTTCCGAAAATTGGGGGTAACTTATTTTGGGGTCCTTATAACAAAGATCCTACATACTATTTAGGGCACCATATTAGGGTCCCCTATTTTCGGAAACTCCCATGTAGGATGTTGCGGGATTTAGAGATTTCTTTCAAGGGTACACTGGACCCTCAAGCGACGTCCTTACGAAGCGAAAAGCTATAAAGCCTAAGCCCACCTTGAGCTCTGGATTTTGACACCAAACTGAAGTATCCACTATATGGGTGGTTGTCGAAATTAGGGCCCCTTTTTGGGTACCCTAAATATTAAAGGTGCCGTACTATACAAAGGACCCAAAAAGGGACCATAACTTTGACAACTACCCATATGAGTACCTCGACCCTCGACCCCCGAACACCCTAAACCCTCATGGTACATTTTTGGAGCCCTTGGAAGGATCCCGCCCGAAGGGTCCTTGGTACCCTTATGGGGGATACTTCCCCAAATCATAATCGTAATTCCTCATATAGAAGCCCTTCAGTCTCTTTAATAGGTACTTAGGACCCTTTGGGTTTTAGGTACTTTGAACCCTTACAAGGATCCCTTCTTAGTAGCTGGGCGGATACATTTTACACTTTTTGGGATACTACTAAGCAAGTAAGCCCTAAACCTCGATACTTCCCTTATAGAAACCCTTAAGGAGACCCTTAAAGGAGGTACTTAGGACCCTTTGGGTTATAGGTACTTTGAACCCTTACAAGGATCCCTTAAAGGAGCCCCTAGCTCTTTCCTGATGAGGTCTTTAATTCCTCATATAGAAACGCTACAGTCTACCTATAGTCTCCATTGTAGTTCCGTTTTCTGGTTAACCAGTTTTATGGTTAGGACCCTATAATAGGGATTTTGGTTAACCAAAAAAAGGAACTACAATGGAGACTATAGGTATACACAAGAATCCCTTAAAGGAATCCGTGGCTCTTTCCTGCCGAGGTTTATGCAAGCTGCGCAAGCGGGGCTGCCTGAGGCGCAGTACCAGATCAGCAGGACGGCAGGGACTTCGGTTTAGGGTTTACCTGGACCCTAAAGAACCTACCTTTTTAGGGTTCCCTAACATGATTTCTTGTTCAGTCCTTAAAGGGCTCAGAGGGTTGAGGATGGTTGAACGCCTACATTAACCTACCAAAACCTACTTTTTTGTAGGGTCATGTAGGGTCCCTATAAATTCCATATTAGGGTTCGCAAAAAGAACCTACAAGAAAGTAGGGTTTGGTAGTTTAAGGTAGGGTTTACCTGGACCCTGAGGAACCTACCTTTTGGGGGTTCCCTAACATGATTTCTGTATATGAGTCCTTAAAAAGGTAGGTTAGTTGGGGTTAAGGTAGGGTTTAGGGTTGTTTTGGGGTTGAGGCTACAGGGTTTGGGTTGTTTTGGGGTTTCTGGTTGTTTTGGAGTTTAGGGTTGTGGGGTTTAGGGTTTAAGGTTTCAGTGTTGTTGTTTAGGGTTTAGGGATTTGGGTTTAGCGGTGTAGGGTTTGGGTTTAGGGTTTCTGTTGTTTTGGGCAGTCTTGGGCTACTTTAGGGTTTGAGGCCTAATCTTTGGATCCGGGGTGCCGGCTGTTCTGATTTGGGTCTGCAGCTGTATCAAGGCCTGTCACATGTAGCATCTGCTCATTAACTGCGATCAACATGCAGACAGAGTTGTGCGCAAGTGTCTCTTGCGCTTCCACTCCAGGACGACATGACTTGAGACGTATAATATGAAGGTTCAGAGGTAGTCAACATGTATCTACGGCTGCGGCCATAGTTAACTCAAAGTTCATAGGGCAGTTCATGTATTAAGAGCGGAGGGCGCTGCCGATGATACCTCTTGGACAATCTCCCGGGCCCCCTGCATTACAGACCTGAAACCATCAGAACAGGGCGTCAGGTGAATACCTGTAGGCGTTGTTTCGAGCACCATGACCAGGATGCTTTTCCTGGGCGATGGCGTCGAGGCGGATGCTGAGTACGCCATGCGGTTCCTCAAGTTGGCAGCCGAAAGGGACGATGCCTCAGAATGTTTGGCCCTACACCCTAAACCCTAAGACCTATACCCTAAACCCTAAACGGTTTGGGCTTGTGAGCTTTTGCGCAAGGGATCTAGGGCTTGTTAGGCTTGTTTGAAGGTTGGAGGGTAAGGCGGTGTACCAGGAATGGCCTCAGGCATCAGAAGGCTTTCGTTGAGGTTTGCAGTCATATTCAGAGTTGCCGCAAGACAGTTAGAACCCCAAACCCCAAACCCCAAACCCTAAACCCCAAACCCTAAACCCCAAACCCTAAACCATAAACCCTAAACCCTAAACCCCAAAGCTACGGCTCCTACTGACACATCGCAGTGGATCTTCGGGTTGAGGCACTGGTTTTTGGCCCTTGATATGCAGCTCCAGCTGATTAGTCTTGACGTGGACATGACATCCCAATACAGCCTTGGTAGGTGTCTATATATATTATATATATATATATATATATATATATATATATTCATATATATATATATATATATATATGTATAGATATGTTCTGTTTCATAGTTACTACAATAGGCCTGAAACATCCTGAAACCCTATTATTGCAAGTATTCAGATCCCTATGTAGCACTTGAAAAGCGTGAGCCTTGGTGGCTGGGGGCAGAGCATAGGCGTTGAAAGGATGCTACAAGTCTGAAGCCTCTACTATAGGGGCCTCAATAATTACCTATACTATTTGGGTCGTTCCTTATTATAACTATAGTAATGGGCCCCAAAACCCTATTCTATTCATTAAGGCCCCTATATGACTTTTTGCCCATAGTGTTCGTTTGCAAACCCTGACCCCCGAACCCCCCACCGCCTGAACCCCGGAACCGTGGGACAGCCGGAATAGTGGCAAATCGAAGCCCCTTCCCCGAGACTCCAATATCCCTTAAATAATTAAGGAATATACCTAGGGTTCCTTTTTAGGGATCTATAGGGGGTCTATAGGGTTTAGGGGAGTCTGATATCCCTTAATTTATACCTTTAATCATATTAGGGATCCTTACTATAATTTACGGAATATTCCTTATTAAGGGATATTGGTATATTAATAGGGCCCGATTATATTCCTATTATACCACTATTACAGGGTGGGGGCAGCTTCCAAGATATTGGAGTCTCTGGGTTCTCCTGCCAAGGGCCACGTCGAGTCCATGCACAACTTGGGCGTCAAGTTGTACTTTGGTGATGGTATTGGGAACGACAGGCACGTTTTCCAGCCAGTGTCTACAATTGCCTGCTACCTAGGGCCCAGGGCTGTACCTCGTAACTGATGGGCAATAGCCTACGATGCTGCAGTGTTTCCAGGCACACCCCACGTTTTGCGGGTAGTGTAATAATCCCTACATATCCCTACATAAAATACCACAGGCGAGCCTTCAGAACTCCAGCTCCACCAGGAAGCTGGACAAGCAAGATATTCCACCTGGAAACCAGATAAAGTTGCTGAGATCTCAACTCAGGCAAGTAACATGCAGGCATGCGAGAGCTTACAGCTTGCGAAGTTGCAGATGCCTTTGATGGCGAGGAGCCGGACAGCCTTTCAGAAGCAAGGCAACAAACTGTTCCTGGCCTTGAGTCGCTTACGAGTTTGCCTGGCGGCATGTGTGTACCTGGGTCGTAAAATCCCGCAAACCCCAAGACCCTAATCCCGTTTATCCCAAAACCCTAAATCTATGGGCCCTACACCACGAAACCCTAAACTACAAGATCCCAAACCCCAAAATCTTTAACTTTCTGATCCTAGAACATCCGAAACTCGCAAGCCGTTCTTGGCAGGCGAACAGCTGCTTCGTGGTTCCTGAAAGCCTCTGAACAGGCAGCAAGAGCTTTTCGGTACCTTTTGGTGTTCGTGTAGGAATCAGGGAGGAGGAGTTAGGGATATGTTGTTAGGAATTAGGGAGGAAGACTTAGGGATGAGGATACCGTGCTAGTTTCAGAGCCGTGTTGTGTTCGCTGCGTTGCATAGAGTCCGAAATTGTATATTCAAAGTAGTGAGTGTATTCCCTGCATGCCTGAGGAGCCCTTAGCATCACCACATCAACCATGCTACCGGTCAAAACTCGTCGGCAACCCCAAATACCCCACAAACCCTGAACCACAAGCCCTAACACTAAACCCCAAAACGACAAGCCGGAAACTCCAAAACCCTGAGACCTTCAGGCCCAACCGAAGAGCCCTGCGTTTAAAACTCGCTGATGTAGGAACCTGATTAAGAAACCCTGGGTTCTTTACTAGGGTTCGTTATATAACAATCCACACATGTCTCGGGTTGTAGGGCCAGGGGTTCTTAACCAGCTGCCTGCAATCCAGACCAACCAGGACTAGGGTTTGCAAGTCCTAAACTACATCAACCCTAAGCCTTAGCGCTTATACCCCAAACCCAAAATAAACCCTACGCCCAAATAATACCCTAAACCCTGAACCCCAATCTCGAAAGGGCTCTGAGCCCGAACCCCACGAAACCCTAACCCTCAACCCTAGACACTCCAGGCCCTACCTGGGGCTCCCAAAAACTTTACCCTTTTAGGGGTTCTACCGGTTCTACCCTCTAAGTATAAGGGGTCGGGGTCACAGGTAAACCCTACCTCAACCCTAAATAACCTACCCTTTTAGGTTTCTCTATTATTTATGATCTCCTTATATAAGGCCTTAAACAGGTGTAGGTTATTCCGGGTTAAGGTAAGCCCTCAACCCGACACCCGAAACCCGAGCTTTGATGCCTTGGAATCGACGGCAGGGCTTCCCACAGTCGCAGAACAACCTGGGCGCGGAGCCTGGCGTGTTGTTTCGGGTTTTCTGCTTAGGGCTTTTGGGTTTACTGTTTAGGACTAAGGGTTCACTGTTTAGGGTTTAGGGTTCGCCGTTTAGGGTTTAGGGGCTCGTGAGCTTGTTGCATTTCAATTACTTAGTTTTTAGGCGCGGCGTCGGGGTTAGTTGAGGGTTTGAAGTTTTAGGATTTTAGGATTTAGCGGGTTCAGCGGTTTGGGGTTTACTGTGGGAAGGCTGCTTCGATTTTTTCCTACAAGCAGTGTTGCTTGAAATCTGCCTTCCTTGCGTATGATTATAAGGCTGGTACCTGTGACCCTACATGTGCCACATGCCGTCATTACAGGTGTCTCCTGAATTTACAGCAGGGTCGTTGCATCAAGATGGGAGGAAGCTGTTGCATTCATGAATACGGTAAGCTACCATTACCCACTTGAAGATCGATGGAAGCACTCGGAGCATACAAGCTTCCACATCGGACTTCCGGCAGATCAATACACCTAGTGACCCTAAACCCTACAAATTAAACCCTGAACCCCTCAACCGTCAACGACCCAGTGGTTGGGTGCGGTCTGGGGCTTGCATTGAATCTAGAAAGCATTGAGCCTTAGCGGTTTGGGGTCCCCGGCCACCGCAGATCTTGTCAACGTTTAAAAGTAAGAATTCCATAAATTCAGGAGCAAGGCTTAGAGTGGACAGGGGTAAGGGTTTAGGGTAAGTTTCAGCACAAAACTCTATGGCCTATGGCTTTAGAACCCCAGAGTATTGCATGGGTGAGAAAGGCTGGATGCTCTACTGCGGCGACGGCGTGCCCATGAACACCCAGGTCGGGTGTCAAACCCCACCATACCACTGGATGCCGTTCATGGATAGCGCAGCCCCGAAGGCATGTTTAGGAAATTCAAGGTGTTGACGCGGCCAGGGTCGTTTCGAAATCGCGACAAACGTGCGGTTTCCCGTAAGTACCTTTGACCCTGGATCAGATGATACCGGTGCGTGGGGCTTAGGATTCCCATCCTTGCACTGTCACCCGAAATCTCAAAGCCATTTAGGGTTTAGGGGTTTCGGGTGTTTGTGTCCGGGGAAAAACCTGAACCCTGGCCCTGGCCGGGAGATCTCAAAATCCTGAGCTTTGTAAAAACTTGGCAGGCCCCCCTTGCCCAGCCTTATACAACACCAAGAGTATATGAAGGATGTGCAGCTTCTGCCCTAAACCCTAAATCCTAAACCCTAAACTCCATAAGGACCCCTATAGATCCCTTTAAAGGAGCGCTAATAGATCCCCTTAAAGGATCCCTATAACTAAACCTTAAACCCGTCAGGGTTGAAAGTCGCGCTTTTTGAGGGCATCGAGCATCAAACCTCGGGGGCTCTCAGGTTAGGATTAGGGGACCCTTGGGGATATAGACCCTCTCAATAAGGCCCCTTTTAAGAGAGCCAGAAGTAGGGTTCAGAAGGGGTGCCCTTTAAGGGGTCCCCCTAATAATACTGCCCAGCTGCGGAGGAGGGGCTGAAATGGCTGGAGAAGGCGGCCAGTGCTGGCAACCAGGAGTCGGAGGGGGGGTTTAGGGTTTAGGGGTTTAGGGTTTATATAGGGGTTCAGGGTTTAGGGTTTATATAGGGGTCCAGGGTTTAGGGTTTATATAGGGGTTCAGGGTTTAGGGGTTTAGGGTTTAGGGGTTTAGGGTATATAGGGGCCTATAGATAACTACCAATACTATTGTGGGGGGTTCCTTACTATAAGTAAAGTGTCATGGGCCCCAAGACCCTATTCTGATCATTAAGGCTCCTACATTACATGGCTTCGAGGCTTTTTGGTGATCAGGGTCGCACGCAGCTTGTAATTACTTGCTTTTATCTCACATTCTTATTGTAGGGACCCAAGTTACTAGGTGGTCCAAACTTGTGGGGTTGAGAGTTTAGAGTCGTGAAGAGGGTTTCGGCTCAGGTAGGCTTTGGTTTCGGAGCTTGGACGGGTTTGCTGAGCTTCGGGCTTGCCTTTTGGATGGTACCTAAATCCCCAAGAGTAGGTAAAATAATGGCCCCAACACCTACAAATAAACGGCCATTATTCTACATACCTTGTCAATTCTAGGTAGGAGTTACCGATCTTTCCAAGGTTCAGCGTTTTAGAGTCTTGAGGTGTTATTTTTAGGGTGGATAACTGGATAACAGATTTGTATAGTTTCTGAGCTCGGCTCAACAAGTTTAGGGGTTTAGGGTTTAGAGTGTTGTTGAGTCCTACCTGTCTACGGCTACATCACCTTCCGAAGCTTTTGTGTCGAACCGTCTGGGTTATTGTCAACCTTGCCCTTCACCCTAACACTTTTCAACCCTAAACCCTGAACCCTAGAACTTATAACCCCAAACCTAAACCCTAAAACCTTAGGCCTTGTCAACCATTACATAAATCCTGAATCCTGAACCCTACAACCTATAAGCCTCAAACCGTAAGCCCCAAAGCCTTAACCCCTATTATAAACCTTGCATAAACCATACCCCAGGAGGCTCAGTATCACTTGCTCTCCGTCCGGGGCACGATGATTTCAGGCTGGCAGAGAGCAGGTTCTGAAGGAGTTTGAGGATGTCGAGCAGTATATACCGTGGGATGTTGTTGGGGTTTGGGTTTTCGGGGTTCGAGTTTGGGGTTCACGGTTTGGGGTTGGGTCGAGAACTTTGCATTGGGGGTCTCTTTCGGCATTCAGACAAGAAGTGCAGGGTATGGTGGTCCCTTGCCCTGTAACGAGACATGTGTGCACTTCTGCATTTTGTGTCCGGCATGTGGCGCTTACTCCTTGGCAGACCTGCGTTTCTCTCTGCAGACACTAAGGCAGCTTCAAGACGAGTTGGGAGAAAGCGCCTACTTTCTTAATGAGACATTGGGAAGTCGACAGCCTGTCAATAGGTTACTTATGATGTGGAGCAGATACCCTGGTGACTTCGTGCCTGTCGACAGAACATATAGCAACACTGTTCGTGCCTGCTGACGTTACGACGCAGCGCAAGTCCCCCACCCACGATTCCGTAAAATCACAATTCCACAATCCACGATTCCACAAGCCGCAAAACCTCATTTGGCAGCGTGCAATTGCAGAGTATGGGGTCCCAGAAAGGATTGAGTTGTGAACCGCGATGAATTCCTGGACCATGGAGTTGCATCATGGTGCTATGGTGCTCGCATGTATGTGATCCCAGCCTGAACGGCTAGAAAGAATATGTAGGTGCATGTGCACGAAGAGAGTACATGTGTCCGTGGTTTTCACATATGCCCTAAACCCTGAACCACAAGTTTCTGTCATTCTCGCCTGCTCCATCTCTACCCTGCCTATACCACCCACTACCCGCTGAGTGTTGTTGGTACCCCAAGGGTCCAAGTACCTAATAGTCATATACTCTCCCTACTGGAATAGGAACCTACGTAACTACTATCCTAAACCCAAGTACCTTATGATTGTCCTTTGAACCCTTGGGGGTAGTCTTGTGGTGTAGAGTCCCAAAGGTTCCCAAGTACCTTTATGGCAGAAAGTAGGGTTTCTATAGTGGGGATGACAATTTTGGTTTGGGTAGGTAATCCCTAAAGGTGCTACGGACCCTTTGGGAGTGCACAGGTGCGCAGGTTCATATATACATGTTTATATACTTTTGAATTCTGTGACCGATGCTTTGGGAATTTACCGCATGAAATTGCTCAAGCAGAGCAGCAACAAGTATCCTGCTAGATACCACCCAAGACCCTACACCCTAAACCACCCTATCCCCGCAAGGCGATTGAGCTGAAGAGGGGAATCTATGTGTGACTGAGCGATCTCGCCCAGGACAGCCCCGAGTCTAAAGCCGCGAGGGTTAGGGGTTTAGGGCGAATGGTTTGCACCTGCAGGGTTCGAGGAACTTCGTGAGGGGTTTAGCTAAATCCTCAAGTCTTGACCGCAAACTCCGAACTCGGAGCCGCAAATGATTTGGACCGTGTGCTGCTGCAGGATTTAAAGCCGCAGAGTTCAGGAATAAATACACCCAAATCCACAGGCTGAAACTCGACGCCCAAAACCTCAACCGTCTCTAGACCTGGTCCCAGATTTACGGATTTAGTGCTCTGTTGGGTTGAAACCAGGGTTCCACAAGGGCCAATGAGCTGGAACCGCAATGTAAAATCTGCATTCCAAAGCCTAGACCCATGGTGCTTTCACGTCTGATTTGTCTGCTGTGTCCTCCGTGTAAAAACTATTTTGGAGCCTCCCCAGCCATATACCGAAGGAGCCTTATTCTTATTCAAAGGGTTCCTTTGAGGGATACTTTGAGGCCTACTGTAAGAGTACTCTAATATGGGCCTTAATAGTTCGAATAGGGTTTTGGAGCACATTCTACTAGACTCATAATAAGGAGCCTCAACACAGTTTCGGTTAGTCTGTTTAGGCCCCTATAGTAACCTCCGAACCCAAGCTCCGAATCCCGAAGCCGCTGCGTGTGGTGCTGCGATCTTCATTTCTGATATTGCTGCCGTCACGGAGGCACTCGGATCTCGGATCAGGGTTTAGGGTTTAGGGCATTTGCAACGCTAAAACATCGGAAAACCTGAATCTACGAAGCCTGATAAGCCCTGCAACCTGTGTACCGCCAACATCCCCCAACCTATGACATCCTAAGCCTGTGTATAATTACGATTGTCGATTTCCCATAGCTAGGTAGATTGATGGATGGATGGATAAAATGGATACATGAATAAATGGATAAACAGGTACATGGATAAACAGATGGATGGATGGATGGATAAATGGATAAACAGCTACATGGATAAATGGATGGATGGATGGATGGATGGATGGATGGATGCATGGATGGATGGATGGATGGATGCATTCAGGTAGGCAGGCAGGACCCCAGACCTTAGACCTGAAACACTTGCACTCTAAACCCTTAAAAGATATGAGAGTTTCCGGAAATTAGGGGTATCTTATTTTGGGGTGGTTATGACAAGGATCCTACTATTTCGGGTACTATATTTGGGGTCCCCTATTTCCGGAAACTCCCAAAGAGATAAGAGTATTAACTTGCATTCGTCAGTTTGCTCCTCAGGACCAGGCGAACTGGATGCACACTCTGCCGCTGGAGCTCTCCATGCACTTGGACCAGGCCAAGGGGTTCAGCTTTGAGACTACTATAGTCTCCTTAGGGGTTATTCTTTTAATTCTCGTTCATACAAAACCCAAGAGAATACTATCTTTTTTATTATGGTTCCAAGGGCGGTATAGACTAGTTTTTAAGTTGTGTTTGTGGTTGGCCCCGGCGCGCGAAAATGCAGGATGCTTCAACGAGTAGTCGTGTTAGCATCTACTAAGGAAGGTGTAGTACTTTGATCTCCCCACATGGTCAGCGCACAGCATTTCTTAAAGGCACGGACCTGTAGCCGGAACCCGATAGGTGATGGCCCCCTGGCTCTAGCATAGAACCCTGGAAATAGTATATAGGCGATTGGAGCCACAAGCCAGTTATCATCATTACGCTCCCTTTTTGTTAGGAGTGCATAGTCCGTACGATGTTGAGGATTGTTGGAGTCAAGAGAGGCAGTTTGACCACGAACTTAGGATTGTATTATAAGGTTCAGGTTTTTGTGTTTAGGACTCGTATTGTAAATATGGTTCCGGGTTTAGGGTCTACCGTATGACGCCTACGGTCTGTGCTCTACCTGGGTTAGCTGTTTTGCATAGTGGGACTTGAAGACTAAACTAAACAGTAGTAAGGAAGCCCTCAGAGTAAACGGTTACGCCGAAGGTCTCGAACTTCAACAGAACGTCCTTGGCCAGACGACTGAGCAGGAAGGATCGGCTGCGGGGAAGGCAGCGTCTCAAACGACGAAAGTCGGAACTGTTGTAGGGGCTTGAGTAAATTGTAATAGTTTATTAGTACTTCCTCGTATATGCGCCGAGCATATTTACAGTACCAAGCCCCGGTGATACCCTAACTGGTCTCATCGTTCAGGACCCTGATACAGGTATCAGTATGAAGACGTTGTCATGCTAGTCCTTCTCGCCTGTCTAGGTGCAAAACAGCCAAGGACCGAAGGTTGAAAAGGGTTCTGTCAGCTGAAATTGGAAGTCAAGAGTGTCTAGGTTTCACAGCTGGGCTCCATATGCATGAACCTTAACACACAAGCCTATTCCAATACTCCATGGACCACATCTCAAGACCCTATGCCCTAAACCCAGAGCATGTCTATACAGATATATATATATATATGCATATACCAAGCCGTGCAGAAGCCCTCCATCCCAAACTGCACACACTTAAACTTACCGAGTCCAAGCGCCAATGCCGTAGATATGTTGAATGAAAACAAATTGTATTTGTACATGTGGGAGAGTATACTCTAGCACGGGTAATGTCAATGGCACACACTCTAAGCTCTAAACCTAAATTGGACTTAGGCACTTTGGGATGAACCTATGCAGCTCCGACTCCAAACCGCTGCGAGGGATTCGACCGCTAGTTGCCAGCAGCAAGCAGGAGAGAAAAGAAAGCTGACAGGATTTGGGGTTCAGCCTAGCGTTTTGGGGTTTAGGCTCACGGAACGGAAGAGGTGGCTGGAGCTGAATCGGGCACTTGGGCACCGAGTTCGCTAAGGTGATCCACTCGTATTGCAGCTAGTTGTATTAACGTGCGGATGTAGGAAGCCTGCAGGCGTTTCCCTTTTTGGTTGTCATTTCGTCGTTTCGTGTGACCTTGTCGATTGTTCTCTCGTTACTCTTGGATGTCGAGAATCCGAGCTCTGAGCCTTTGGATCGCATTCCGGTGGGACGAAGAGCCGTTGTGGTTCGCAAACGGGTTCGGGTTTATGGTTAGGTAAAGTTTGGGGTTTAGGGCTAGTTGTGGGCATTTCAGCCATAGCCATAACAGAGGCGAGGTCCAGGCTTGTAGGCTCTGTGTTCAGGAGCTTTTTTGGGCTTTGGCTTTGGAGCTGCTGCTTCTGCAGACCACGGATGTCCCTCTAACTCAGGGTTATCTAAGGTGTAGGTTTTCACGGTTCGGAAGCACCTCGTATTAGGGATCTGGCGAGAGCTCGAAAATCAAGCTGAGGCATGGTTTCTTCAGTTTTGCTGTTTGAGGAATCAAGGATTGTGGTGGCCGTGGGTCCCCTGCATCTGAAACTTGCCCAGAGACTCCAACATCCCTTAGGTAAGGAAAACACCTTTATTGAATTATAGAAGGATCCCTATTGTAATGTCAGGATTTTTCCTTAATTAAGGGATATTGGAGTCTCTGAGTTGTGTTCTTGGGTTTCGTAGTTTAGGGCTTCTGACTGGAGCTGTCGCATGGACAAATACCTTTCGAGTTTCATGGACCACAGAGGGTTCCATGCAAAGCACATACAGTCAGTCTGCGAAAATCCGTTTCGTTGAATCTGCAAGTGTTCTAGTTTCTAAAGAGCCTTTTCGCTAATGCTTTCAGGCTTGCGGGCCCAACGAGCACTCTGTTTATACGCTTTTGGGTTTTGGGACGTTCTGCGCCTGTGGAGTGAGTCAAACTTGCACATCACCACGACGCGGTACCACCGCTGTGTGCCCTGTGTCAGCCCTAAACCGCAGGCCCAAAGCCTCTAAGCTTAAACCCCAGACTCCAGACCCTGCCTTTCGCCGTGCCACCCTTAACCTTGCATGGCGTGTACCACTAAACCGTAAAGCGGTAATCCCTTGCCAAGGCACAAGCTGAAACACATACCTGAAAGCGTCGCAGCCCGGTCCCAAGAAAACCGCGACTCGCGTTCTTCGAGTGGTTCTGGAAGGTTTCCTTCGAGGGTTCAGGGCTTTAGGTTCAAGGTTGAAGGTTCTTAGCGTGTAGGGCAGTAGTATAGTGCTTAGAGTTGAGGGGTTCGGTTAGGACTTCGGGTCCTCTTGGAGTCTGCTCTGTCTGGGTTTAGTTTTGACCTTGTTGGCACCGTGCTTCACTCACTGCGTCGAGAACCAGTTGTGTCGTTGTTTTTGCCCATGTGTTGCTATGCTGCTACAATTGTCGTCTGGCCACAAAATGGAATCGCACGAGTTGCGTGAGGCTCATGTGCTCTTCCGTAGACTAGAGCTTAAAGTACCTGCCATATCGGATGGGAAAGCGAATTCTGCATTGCAAAGGCCCGAATAATTTGTATCAGTACTCGTTCAGGTTCTTTCTTGATTATGATATTTCTAGCATAGCATTCCCCCAGGCCACATTCTATAGTCAATAAGGTCCCCTAAAACTTGCATTCTGCGCGTGGCTATAGAGTCTAATGGGATTGGATTCGCAAGATTCTTGCAAAGACTTTGAGATGCATATTCGCATCGTCAACCCTCACTCCCTCACTCCGAAATCCGCAGATCCCGAAATGGGCAACGATCGAGGTTCAGCCGAAGAAGAGAGTATACCGCGAAAATCAAGGAGGTCATCCCACAATGGCACACTAACAAGACTCAGATCAAGGACACCCTGACCCTAAACACTAAACCCCTAAAGACCCTAAACCCGTAAACCCTAAACCCCTAAACCCTTAAACCCTGAAGCACCTCAAGCTGTGAAGTCGCCACCGACCCAAAACGCTAGGCGGTGTCTCTCGGCTTCGTAGTCGGCTGCGCCGTTCGGGTTCGGCCCGCAGTGGTTTCTTTGGGGGGGGGGGGGGGTTGACGTGGGAAGGGTTGGGGGAATTAGGATTTAGGGTTTAAAGTTAGGGTTCAGGGTTGCGGATTTAGGGTAATTATAGGGTTTTTGTTAAGTTGGGCTATTGGATCTACGTACGAGTTTCGGATTGGT